CTCCATACCAGTGTGAATGTCCAGCAGGATGGACGGGCACACGCTGCCACAGTGGTAAGAGTGTGTGTTTGTATGTGATGACTCATGATGGTCGTTGAGAAAACTAGTTAATTTATTACATAAATTGTGATTAGTAGCAGAACTAGTTGACTAGTAAGTGCAGCCTCTAACATTGTGGATCTTGTACGAGTAATACATTTACATTTAATTGTTTAGCAGACGCTTTCATCCAAAAGTGACTTAAAAATGAGTAGAACAATAGAAGCAATCAAACAAAAATATAACAAATCTACAAAACTGAGGAAGTAGAAATATCTGCTTTTTTCAGTCCTGACACGATGACCTCACAGTTTTAATTACAGACAATTAATGGAGTCTAGAGAACATCTGCCATTTACCTCAAGCTGTGATCTTGCCTGTTAGCATAAGTCTTAAAGGGATACTCCACTTTTTTTGGAAATAGGCTAATTTTACAACTCCCTCAGAATTAAACAATTGATTTTTACCATTTTCAAATCCAAATCCCATTGACTTTCATAGTATATAAGTCAATGGGACCAGAAACTGTCTGGTTACTTATATTCTTCTAAATATCAGAAAATCGTCTGAATGCTACCCCCGCACAGACGCCGTCTGCAGTGCCCAAACATAACGAGAATTATTATACAGCCAGGCTTTATCGCCCAAGCCTAAGGGATTACTCTACATAGACTACAATGTAATGTATATTCACAACAATAAAGCAACACCTGTCTCATTTTAATTCTGCTTCTGTTGTTTGTTTGTGTACATCACTATCCAACGGCGGGGAAAAACGGCGGTAATATTCAGGTAACTTTTGACCTGCCTCTCTCTGCTTCCCGCTCCTTCCGCGAATGCCGAAATGAATTATGGGATATTTCTGCCGTCAAGTTCACACAAGTTACCAAGCGATGCATCCTCTGTAAAATGGGAGTGTCAAGAACACATCCGGGATTTTTAACCGCTCTTGCCTAAGTGCAAACTTGTGTATTGGGACAGTACTTGGGCCGCGACTGATGACGTTTTACAAGTCCACAAGTACAGACAAGAAGGCATATTGAGAAACGGCCCTTGTTTCCTGTCTGCCATTATTGGTCAAATTGATTAATTCAGGTGTGCCTGACCTCAGTAGTCACGGCAACAATAATCAGACACACCTGAATTAATTAAGTTTGGCCAATAATAGCAGACAGGAAACAAGGAGCTGGCTTAAGTTCAGGAAGTAGTGCAGCTGTGCATAAAGCCCATTTAGAATTGTATGATAAAGGACTGTCACGCATGTGTTCACACTGCCCCAACAAACACAGGCAAACACTGATTGAACATGTTCAGTGAGTCAGGTGAAAACAATGTACCAATGCACAATGGACCGTGACACTGATCTGATAAAACCCAACAAACGTGTTTTTCTGTGTGGTGTGAATTGGCATTTAGTTCAAATGTAAAAGTGGCTAGTTAGGGAAATATCTATTGCTTTTGATAAACCGATTAAATTTAAGAGTTTAAATGTTGGGTGTAGTGGAGTGATTACCCTTATTATGGACAGAAGGACCTCATGGTGGGATGGGGCCGTGGCTCATTCTCCTGGGGTCATCCTGTGTCATGCTTATGTTGTTTCCAGGCAACGCCTGTGACAACAAGCCCCTAATAGTGATATCCAGTAGATCCCAGGAGATCAAGCAGTCAAACAAAACACAATTATTGAAAACGATTAGGGGCATAACATGAATGTAAATTAAGTTTAGTGTATTATTTTATATATTTAAACAGATTGAATTTGTCACCATTCAAGGCAGTATCTTTGTTTGTATAGTGAACTTTTAACTGTCCAATTGCTGAAACTGCTTCTTTTCTTTTATCATATTGATGTGTATTGATGCGTCTGCTTTCACAATACCATGAACATCTCCATAACGAATGACTTATAAAGTACAAGAACTCATATTTTATTTTATTTTAACATTTACCAATGAAACTTCATTAGATTTATTGAGAACACCACCAGCCCCTGTGCCAAGTACTTCCAGTACTTGGTTTAGCAGACTGAAGCACAATATGCACAGTACGTCACCTGCTTTTGTTGCTGGTCTGCCGCTTTGTGTTTTTTTTTTTGCTCTGTGTTGATTTGTCTATCAGCAGCACAACGGTCTCTTATGAATTCTGGAAAATCTGCTTTGTTCTTAAATTACATGGAATGTCCCATTTGAAGAATGATCCTGCTTGCTCTCCAAAACTAATTGTGTGATTGTATGCACATTAATAAAGGATTTAGTTCCTGTACTTTTCCTAAAGACAATGTTTTGGCACACCATGATAAACATAGAAGACAAGTTCTATAAAGCCTCATAATACATTTTTGAACTGCACTATGATGTTTTATCAACACAATATACACTCACCGGCCACTTTATTAGGTACACCTGTCCAACTGCTCGATAACACTTAATTTCTAAGCAGCCAATCACATGGCGGCAACACAGTGCATTTAGGCATGTAGACATGGTCAAGACAATCTCCTGCAGTTCAAACCGAGCATCAGTATGGGGAAGAAAGGTGATTTGAGTGACTTTGAACGTGGCATGATTGTTGGTGCCAGAAGGGCTGGTCTGAGTATTTCAGAAACTGCTAATCTACTGGGATTTTCACGCACAACCATCTCTAGGGTTTACAGAGAATGGTCCGAAAAAGAAAAAACATCCAGTGAGCGGCAGTTCTGTGGGCGGAAATGCCTTGTTGATGCCAGAGGTCAGAGGAGAATGGCCAGACTGGTTCGAGCTGATAGAAGGGCAACAGTGACTCAAATAACCACCCGTTACAACCAAGGTGGGCAGAAGAGCATCTCTGAACGCACAGTACGTCGAACTTTGAGGCAAATGGGCTACAGCAGCAGAAGACCACACCGGGTGCCACTCCTTTCAGCTAAGAACAGGAAACTGAGGCTACAATTTGCACAAGCTCATCGAAATTGGACAATAGAAGATTGGAAAAACGTTGCCTGGTCTGATGAGTCTCGATTTCTGCTGCGACATTCGGATGGTAGGGTCAGAATTTGGCGTCTACAACATGAAAGCATGGATCCATCCTGCCTTGTATCAACGGTTCAGGCTGGTGGTGGTGGTGTCATGGTGTGGGGAATATTTTCTTGGCACTCTTTGGGCCCCTTGGTACCAATTGAGCATCGTTCCAACGCCACAGCCTACCTGAGTATTGTTGCTGACCATGTCCATCCCTTTATGACCACAATGTACCCAACTTCTGATGGCTACTTTCAGCAGGATAATGCGCCATGTCATAAAGCTGGAATCATCTCAGACTGGTTTCTTGAACATGACAATGAGTTCGCTGTACTCAAATGGCCTCCACAGAGTCCACAGTCACCAGATCTCAATCCAATAGAGCATCTTTGGGATGTGGTGGAACGGGAGATTCGCATCATGGATGTGCAGCCGACAAATCTGCGACAACTGTGTGATGCCATCATGTAAATATGGACCAAACTCCCTGAGGAATTCTTCCAGCACCTTGTTGAATCTATGCCACGAAGAATTGAGGCAGTTCTGAAGGCCAAAGGGGGTCCAACCCGTTACTAGCATGGGGTACCTAATAAAGTGGCCGGTGAGTGTATATACTGGATTAGTGGTGAATTATTGGTTAATATGAGTATTTTGTGTGTGTGTTCTTAGCGGTGTGCTCCAAGCCCTGTATGAATGGAGGAAGGTGTATCCGACCCAACAGGTGTCATTGCAGTCAAGGATGGGGAGGATATGACTGCTCTAGGTATGCCAAATATAAATAATATATGTGACATAAGCACATTGCCTAGCGATTTTTGACATTTGATGACTTACATCATATAAACCTCAACACATTGTAATGTAATGTATTTCCACTAACTGTACAAGGAACTCTGAAACACTCATCTGGGACGTTTCCGTTGATTGTGAAAGACAAGTAAATAAACGAGTAGGGAAATACAGATAAGAACCCTTTTAGTCTATGTGTGTCAGTATGTGAGTGCATGCTGCTGACACACCTAGTTTCATGATAGCGTATCTCTTACAATAAACGTACATTTCCCAAGGCACTGCAGTTGGTTTCAATCCATTCATTGAGTTGGCAGAGGGACCATTTCTTTTACGATGTATTCTTTTAAACAATCTGCTCCTTTCTGATCTTTATTTCACTGATTCAGTGCCAGTGTCAAGATTTTATTGAGCAAATACAGCCTCTGACTAGAGGACTATTGATCTGACGGTTTTACTATAAGTGTTTCCAGTTAATTGACTCAGCTAATTAGATGCTGCAGTCGTCATAGCTGGTTATAGTGATTCCCAATTAGATGTACGTGACATTTGGTTAATCTAAGTAAAAAACTGAGCTTTAAAGACATTTTTAAGGTCCATTATTTACCCATGCTTAAGGAAGGACTCATAAATGTTTTAATTATTGATTCAGAGATTTTAGTTATAATATTTTGGTTTTAATGTTTAATACTGATCTTTGTTATTAATTATTGTCTTTCAGAAAAAGGAAATCTGGATACTCTCATATTTAATGTGCCACGCTACAAGAGTTAGAGTCTGAATGTGTTGGAACAAGATGGCTTAGAAACTTGTACACAACTCATTATCTCTTTCCCTCAAAGAGTCCGAAGTGGTTTTGTAAATTAAAGCTGTATTTTTTCATGTAGAAAATGAAACAGTATTAAATATATGCTGCTGCTATATACATGAACGTGTATGATGTGTACAAATGTTGATGTGATTGTCCAATGTACATGTATATAAACTATTCTTTTCATGTTTTTATTAAAACAGAAAACACAACTATATGAAACCAACTGTAATTCTCATTACCAGTGTTAATGATGACAGATTCTTTGACTTGCCTGTCTCATATGACTAAATAAACATTTGACTTGGACAATTTGACAATCCCATTACAACACAAGAATTTTTTATTTCTTTTTATAGTTTTAATTTCATACAAAACCAACATACAATACATTAGAGGCACCCATTGTTGAAGGCCAAAATATTTAACAAAAAAGTCTTTGAGGAATGTATTACCATAGTTTTGGTTTTTGTAGCTGTCATAGAATTAAAGGATGAGAATGATGTTGTTTTACTTGATTTAAATTTCTAGAATCAATATCAGAAAACCTATTGTGTGTTTAGCTTCAAATACACCTATTATGTGTATTTAGTTAAAAACGGTTGGTTGGTTTGTGTGTTTGTTATGTGTGTTCTTTTTTTCTTCATTTATGCATATTGATCTTCTCTTCCAGCTTAGATTGGTTTGATCCAGAAAAGTCATCAATCTGCAAAACAATTGTTGAATTCCAGTTAGAGGGAACAAATCAGCTTATCAGCTTATAAAAATAGTTCCCCAAAAGGGAACTGGAAGAAAACCTCCAGGAATAATGTTTTACCTTCTTTCCATTCTTGTAGAAATGGAATGTTGGCATACATTTAATGTCACAGTAAGTGGCCACATCCTAGAACAGAGAAAAATGCTCAGAGGTCAGGTCTGAATAGGTTTAACCATGATAACCATCTTTAATAGTGTCTTTTCATTTTGCTTTGCTAGTCTGGCCAGATCTATGGGGCTGAAATGACGTCCATGACCATTTCAATGGTTTGTTTCATATTCAAATCATCTTATTTGATATTTTCCGCCAATGGTAAATTCAGTCACAAAAAGGTCCACTGGATTGTGGGATTGTTATCAGGATCTTCAAACGCTCTGCTTGCCTTTGCCATCCGAACCTTGCGATTTAAATGTCAGTCAGAAAGCATGACATTTTAACAAATTGCAAACATGTATAAAGATTCAGCTTTATACAAACACACATCCTGTAATCTGCTTTGCAACACAGCATTGTAATAATAGCTAGTGTTTGTAACCATGCCGACATGGGCAAACATCAGAATTGTCCCATTCTGGCAGTGTCTCAATCTACCTCTGATAAAACTGAATGACAGCCAATATCCTTTCTCAACACTATCCTGTGAATCAAATAACACACTATCAGCAAGTCGATCTGGAGAACAGCAACCAGCTGACGGGTGTGCTGGGATCTTCTAATGTGTTTGGGCCCATTTATAAGGTTTGGCTGTATGTGAGTATCCAAATACGCTATACTGCACATATCCGTGTCAACTCGAGGGGGATAGCGAGGCATATTCAAATGAAAGTAACACAGTGAAACCCAGATGGTGAATCTATGATGTTAAAGGGTGTTTTGCTCATTTGCCTCAATAGTCTCTAGGCTTTTGAGTGTATTCGTCAGAGAAAAAAGACGGCAGGTGACTAACCTGTGCATCATCCACATCCACCTTTAGAAACACCACATTTTTGTTCTCTTCTTTTTCAGACAGCGCCTGTGGAGGAAAAAAAGGCAGTAGTAAAAAGCAGACCACAAAGCTCCATCAAAGCACTTCCTTTGAGCTTTAATATTTTGTTCATTCTGTTTCATCTGTGACATTTGCATATGCTTTATTTTATTTCCTAAACCAGGTAAATGAAAGTAAAATGAAACAGCCGGTTAATGTTGTTATGTAGTTTAACCATGCGGCTGAGGTTAGCTTTTTCTTGAGGTTGGTTCTCAAGTACACCAGAATATCAAAATAAGCTATGTATAGTCTTTAAAGAATGAATCTGCACTTTTAAAGCTCTTTTTGTCTTTTATCCCGCTCTTCTTCCTTTATCAGGACTACCTCTCATTTGCATTCTGTGAATGATTCACAGTTTAATTCTTAAGGAAGCTTCCCCAGCGGTTGCCCCGACAACACAGCACAACAAAAGAGCCACTCCCGATGTTTCCAGGGGCCTCTATAGAATAAACATTAGAATCATGACAGCTCCAGATGTCACTCTGAATCTCGGATGCGGTGTATGAATGCTCACTTTAAAGAATGGAGCGATGTTCTGGCAGGGCCCACACCATGTGGCTGTGAAGTCCACCACCACCAACTTGTTCCCGGCGTTTTTCAGAGCATTGTCGAAAGCAGGCTGCAAAAAAGAGAGAGGAAGGAAAAGTAAATTTAATCTCAAAAACTAACATGACACATTCCTTCCTGCTGAAATTCATTAAAATGGGAGATGAGTCATAATGCTATGGCTTAAGCAGGAGCATTGAGATTTTTGGCCTATGAGGTAACAGGAAGCTTACTCAGAAAGGGGCGAATTGCTTTCGGTTTCTAGATACTGGGGAAAACAGCTCATATCCTTTTCAATGAAATTACAGTTAAGCAAACAGGAAATTACTCACTTTATGGTCCATTAATATTTAATCGAACCATTTGTCATGTGTTTTGAATTACATTAATTCAAATTTCTTAACGACTGTGAAAGCTGCAATTTAAAGTAATCATGTTTGAAGTGCATCGTTCTTTTGAGTTGAATTTTCAATGAATTCGAGTTCTCATCCCAGTTCTGGAGTGAGTCCATTCACTTACTGGCCGACTCGCTACTAAATTAAACAAGTGGCAGTAGCAAATCCGAGCTGGTTCAACTTTAAACCAATGCACTTACACTATTTCATAAAATGTAACTTTACATTTATAATTCAGCAGATGTAAAGTAGCATTTTATTATAGTGTAAGCGCATTGGTTTAAAGTGTTTTTTGTTGTTTTGTTTTTATTGAGAAATAAATCCAAGTACAAAATACAGTATATAACAGGAATGCTTCACATGACAGATATCACATATATTGAAACATGTTTAAACAAATAAACAGGGATAACAAAAACAAAGGAGAAGAAGAAGAAAAAAATACAAATAAAAACTAAATAAATATACACTTTTCCTATAGACACTTTTAATGTTCATATAGTTTGGTAAACTAAGTGGGGGCATTAATTACAATACAAAGAATTCCTCCATAAAGTTTAACAACATTTCATTCTTTTTATTTTTAACTAATTTAAGTGACTTCCTCAGCGATTCAATCTCTATTAAAAACAGATTACATTTTGGAATGCATTTTGCAAATTTTTGTTTATGGATATAATATTTACCATGCAAAATGAAGAAATTCACCACATATTCACACATTTTGCTTCTGTGTGTATAAGAACATCTTTTTTTTTTTTCAGGCAAGCTATTTTGTTGTAAATAAAAAACTCTGATAATGTCACTGTTAATAGTAGGCTATTGTGGTATTTTCTTTCTGAAACTCGTATACGATCTTTCCGACACAACAAAATAAACAACATGACGCAATTAGTTGTGACGACAAAAAGAACCGCTCTTTGAAACGAACTCGAAAAGAAATCGAAAGAACCGATTTGCTTCAGATCAGTCAGATCTCTCATGGTGTGTTCCAAGTGTTTACACCCTATGGTTTACACACGCCAGCACTTTCTCACTCACAAACAGCTTATTAAATCATAAGTATGACGGAAAACAAAAGCACTTTTCATTTCCTTACTTTCCACTATTGCATTCTGCTTGTAGTTCAGTTGGGAGGAAAAACAACCATGTTTCACCACCCATCTATTCCACAAGCGTTTCAAAACAAAAATGCGCTCGTCTGTTTTTTTTAGCTAAATACTTAAACTACAACTTAAAATAAGTTAATAACTTATTCGAATATAATTTCCCCAAATTCAGAAGTCAAATATTAGGCTATCTATAAAAATGACAGACAAAGTAATGGAAACATCTGTATTATATGTTCCTACCTTATCCTCAATTATGACAACCATTTTGATGTCTGTCTTCTACTACTGTATGCTCTGAACAGTCCTGCTTCATTGACACTTTTGACAGCCAGAGTGGCAGCACGAGTCATTAGCGCCGTATATAAACACTGTCACGTAACCCCACCTTCAAAGAAGACAACGATCCAATCATGGAATGCTGAGTGCCTATATCCCCGCCTACCGCTATTCTACAAATATATAAACCATTGAAATAGTTCAGTAAATGCTATACGTGTAGGTTTTGCGCAGTTTGTGACATAAATAATGACATCACCTCTATAACGAGTAAACCTATTTATTTATCCTGAAAGAGAATCACTATTTTGTTTTGTTATGAGCAAGTCACAATGACTTGACAGATTCCGGGATTAGGCTACTGTACGCGCAGTGACGTCACCGAGAGTAGTGGTGGACTGCTAAACTGTACACAAATTGAAGAAGAAAAAAACTGAACAAAAAATTGAAAATCGAATAGCTTTTATGAGAAAATAGGTTAGGTAATAAAAACATAGCCTATGGGAGTGTTAGTATTGTTCTTTGGAATTTTTTGGTCACACTTCCTGTTTTGACTTCCTATTCCCATTTGACAGAATAAATGTGACTGTGTAGGCGGACCCTCAAATCTTCTGCTTCTCTACTATAGCCTATTAAACTGAACCAGAGTGAACATTAAGACACCTTGTGCTTTAGCTTGAAAGCACACATATGTGAAATTTCATCCAGTCCTTAATAAAATATTCCTTGAATTTATGTCCTGTTGATTTTTAGCATCCTTTTTATTATTTTTTACTCAAAAAGTAATTTTACTTTTCTGTGGAAAAAGATAGCATTTAATGTCAGCCTATTATTTTGCGGCAGAATCATCATCAGACATTTTTGGATGTATCTAATAATGAGCAAACATGTTTTACTGTGGTTTTGTGTACTGACACACCTAAAATTAAATGTTTCATAAGTCAACATGCAGTTTCGGGATGAGCCTCAACAAATGTATTGTCAAACTTTTTGGTTCCACAGTTAAGTTTTAACTAACTTAACCGTAACCAAAATATCTGTATGTTAGAGCTGTGGCCTATTGCAGTTGAGATGTTTTGAATATGACTTGCAACATTTCCCCCAGAAATAATGAGCATACATTATTAATCAGACACAGTATTTAATACGCAAATATAAAGATGAAATCTGACGCTTCACTTGGTTATTTGAAACATACACTGTAAAAAAATATTGTTGGTTTAACTTAAAAAGTAAGTAACCTGGTTGCCTTAAAATTTTAAGTTGATTGAACTGGAAAAGGTGAGTTAATACAATGAAGGAGATTCATTTAATCATCAGAAACTCAAAATAATAAGTTATCTCAACTAAATAAATTATTGAAGTTGATTTGACAAAAGAAAAAATGTTGTGATAACAAATCTTGAAAATATATATTTTTTACAGTGTATATCAGTTATAGGCCGTTAATATAACTTCTTGTAACATCATAGTACTACTAAGTGGACAAGTTTAGGAAACACAGAAGTGAAGACCAAGAGACTTGGTTGTACTGTATCTTCAGCAGGATTCTTTATTGAGAACACAAACAAGTCTAACTAAGACAGTGTACATTGTAGTTTGTAGATTTTAGGAGGCAGTGCTTAGAATTGGATACAAAGCACCTGGCTGAAGACCTTAAACAAAGCATGCAAATGGTATAGGAACCCACAGTAGACTCTAGAGTGTTACCAGTCCTAATCCAATCATAGCTATTCAAAGAATTGGTCAGGGGCTCCAAGAGCCATTAAAAACAACAGGTGAATCTCAGTAATCTGACTCATTTGACTTACAATAAAGAGAACAGGACTGGCAGGAACTTATTGCCAAAATCTTTGCTTAACCAAAACAAATCAATCATCTTTACCTTAATTGCTAAATACAATGTACTTTCCAGTAGTTTTTCATGTGATGTTATGCAAGGATGTAAGATCAGCAGATCTTACATGTTTTTTATGCATGTGTATATAGGCTATTTTTTATTTGGAAAAGACAACAGATGCATATCTAAGCATGCTTCAGACTTTAACAATAGCCTTCCCAAGTCCATCACCCTTCAGCATCTTCATGAAGGCAATCGGCATGTTTTCAAAGCCAACAGTGACCACTTCCTTCGTCTTCAGCTTGCCCTGCAATGAAACAGTTGAATGTGATTCCAATTCTCTTTCTCATTCACAGACTTGTACTAAATGTTATATGCTGCGTATTAATGTCAATTATTCAATGAACTTCGGGTCATGAGCTATAAGAAGTGTAATGATCAAATGTTCTTTTCTGTTGTTTTAGACCAGAAAAAAGGTCCAGTTTACCTCATTCTTCCATTTAAGCATTCTCTTCACAGATTCTTCATCTTTGTGTCTCCAACTTCTCACCATAAAGCCTTCTATTTTCAGTTGCCGTGTAATTATTTCATGGTGAGGATAAGGACCTATGAGAAAGAAATTCAATATTCTAATGTTGCACTGCATCCTGCATAGCTGGCATTTTTCATATTCTCTACTGTCCTCTAGTGGTTGTAATGTGTAACTATTTAATACATTTTCAGTTTGTTTTATTCTAATATTAAAATGTGACATTGCACACTATGGCTTAAGAGCGGGGAGCCTACTGAAAACTTTTGAACAGGATGAAGAGGTCCAAATTTATTTATTTATTTATTTTAAATACCAAGTACCGCCCTTCGGAAGCAACAGAAGATTAAGTACAATTTACCTTTATCATCAACTTAAAAACATTTTAACCCCCCTGGCTCTAAATGCATCGTGCTTCCTTCTGGATTCTCAGTGAATGTTTGAACTTTTTTAATAGTTTTTAATAGTTTAATAGTTAGCTTTAATAGTTAAAATCAATGTAAAAACATATGTTGTCATAACTTGCAAAAGATGCTAGAAAAACTGAAGAATTTGAAGGACCTGAGGGATTTTTCTGAAGAACATTGGCCAGTTTAACTGGACAAACAAGGGCCTCAACAACAACCATCACAAAAACCACCCCTTTACCTCCCCCCACCACCTTTACCTCACCACCCGGGTGACCTCACTTTGCGTTGTACCGCACAGCATTTTCACCCCTTGTCCCGCATGTCACATATTGAGGAAATGTCCCGCATTTTCATCAGTCTATTGGTTTTTAATGATCATATTAAGAAAACGTGCATGCATTCTTTTGCCTTTTATGAAAGCATTTTACTTATCATTTTTGCAGTTTAGTTTTTCACCTATATTTAACAGCGCTTCGTCATAAGTACAACTACAACAGCCATGTTTTATATCCTATCCAATGGTTGAAAAGAGAGGGGTAAACACGGTCACTAGTAGGTTGTGATGGCTGTCAATCAAAATGTGTACCGGTGATTCGTTCCATATGTTCCCTGTCGGAAAACAAATGGATAATTCGGTAAATTAACATTTTAATTTAACGGAATTTATCTGTTGTTGTTTAACCTGTTGCCTGCTGTGGTTGTTTTAATTCACATCACAAACGTTTTTTTTTTTGTTTGTTTTTGGTTTTTAATATACTCTTATAAGACTGTCAATCTGTATTCATTGTTTATTTTGTTGGATTTTAGTTGGACTTGGTCAGAACTGTTTCTAATAGTTATCTGCATGACGCCTGCTGCCTCAGGGCTCAGTGATGTTGAATTTAAATGACATTTAAAATAAAGATTTTTTTTCTGGAAGGGACTAAAGAACAACTCATTTTTATCTACTGAAAGGCAGAATATAAATGTTTTTATCAAGTTAGAAAGACATTATATAACCGTTTCAGGGTATGTTTTAGTGTTGGTCACACTGTCCCACACAAACTTATAATTGTCCCACATTTGGTTTGTTTGATGGTGGTCACCCTGAGGCATGCGAACACTGACATATATAGCAATTCTAAGTTGCTTTGGATAAATGACTAAATGTAAATGTAAACTTGAATTATTCTGTTTATATGTTAACTCCATCACCATGTCCCTTTAGTTTCTCCATAAAAATGAGACTTACACATCTGAGGTGTTGTGTCATTGTACGTGGCTATTGCACCGCAGACAGCGATACGACCGCCTGGCTTCATCTTTTTCAGTGCTGCAGTAAAGAATGGCCCTCCCACCTGGAGAACATTAACACACACACACACACACACACACACACACACAGATCTCCATTTAAAATGTGACCAATTATGTTATTTATCTGAGAGCTTATAAAATCTTAAGAATACTAATAAATAGATTGAATGTTATAGGCAAAAATACACATATAATGTTAATTACATTCTCAAAATAGCAGTCGTATCCTTCCGGTGAAGCTTTCTCCAGTGCTTCCTCCAGTGATGAGACAGTCTTGTAGTTGAAGGCATGGTCAAAGCCCAGTTCCTTCAGGTATGCCACCTTGTCGTCGCCTCCTGCTGATCCCACAACCTTGCAGCCTTTGATCTTGCAGATTTGACCCACCATTGCACCCACAGCACCTGCTGCTGCACTCACCAGAACCGTCTCACCTGGCTGTATCTTACACACCTCTTCCAGGCCATACAGAGCAGTTAAGCTAGAGGAAAAAGGGGACGGGATTTAGACAATTAACAACAACAAAAAAAGAATTGCCTATGAGAGATAAAAAAAAAAAAAAAAAATCGAGCATGATCATTTATTTTCTTGCTGTCTATCTGTGTCACTGCCTTCATTTAAATCATGATTAATTTACCCAGGCATCCCTAAGGAACCGAGGGCTAGGGACATTGGAATGTCACTGGGCCATTCGGATACTATCCGGGTCAAGATGGGCCCGGCTGGACCATTCGCTTTGGTTACAGTCTGTGTCCTCCACCCACAATCAGCAACCACGTGACATCCCTCAGGAAATGCTGGGTCCTTGCTTTTTAGTACCCTGACAACCAAACAATGAGTTAAGATATTTATTCAATGATATGAATTGTTGTTTTTGTTGACCTGTTTCCTCACTTGAATGCTTACTACTGTAGAATACTTGAACTTACTAATGCAGTATAGATGCAAATTGAAGTCTAGGCCTACAGTCTTTTATGTAAACTGTGAATTTTTTTGTTGCTCAAGATGTTTTTCCACTTATCTAAACGTTTCCACTCGTCTGAGTGCACTGAACAGCTTGAGGAACAGATACAGATGCTAGACATTCTGAAGAATATTATAGACCATTTTGCAAGATGTAAACAACACTGGTCCAGAAACACTTCCTGTTTCAGTTTGTAACTCTTTTCTTTATTTCACATGTAAAGAAAACATCTTAAAGATATTTGTTTAACTTTCTGATTTAGTTTTATATGTACTGTTGGTTGTATTTTGTCCCAGCTTTTATGTAGTGTTAAAAAACTGAAACCGGAAGTGCTTCTGGACCAGTGTTGTTTACATCTTGCAAAATGGTCTATATGATGTATTATTGAACATTTTACGATTACTTAGATCATTTTCTTTCCACCAATGAACATGCTTTATTTTCTGTAAACATTCTGTATAACTGGACTGAATCTATGGTATATCACTAACAAAAAGTGTAAATAAAATGTAACAATAGATTACAATACAAATGGTACGATTTGTTGTTTTCCTTACTTTGCCAACTGAGATCCATACTGTACATCCCCTTCTTTCATCCACATTTTACTCAGAGATCTACAGAAACAGCAAGATCATTTAGAAACACGAGCTAGACACCAAGTTGTATAGCTAAATAAATAAAGAGATGGTATATGTTCTAATAAGAAAGATTTTAGAGCACTTTTACCTCATATAAGGATCAACACTGAAATAAATGGCCTCCACAAGCACGTCTGAAGCAGAAGGATTAAATCAGTGAGGCATCGAACAGGTAGCAAAAAGACAAATATGTTAATAATATATACCCCCATCTTGAAGCTCTGGCAGAACTTCTTCTCTCAGTTCAAAGTTACTTTCCTTAGGAAAGCCCTCAAAATGTTTTTTGAGGATCCATGTCTTTGCTTTAACCATGATTGTGTGTGTGTCAAAAGCTGCGAGTGACAGTCTTCAAACTTGAAGTTGTTCTAAAAGGGAGAACCGCACTGCCTTTTATTGCGTTGATGACAATGAACACACTTATGACAGTCATAAATTAACATGACATTGCAAATTCTTGTAACCTGTATACTGATATTAATGGGCGAAGTGCCGTCTCACCCAATTTTGTTTACCATAACATAAGCTTTTAATATTTTTTTAAAAATGTTGTCCTTGAAATTGTAAACCATTTCAGGAGAAAAGGTATCACCTCAGGTACCCCAACACTACACATTTTAGATGCAATCAGGTGTGTTAGTTAAGGGATGACCTTAACTGTGCATCACTAACGAATAATAAGTTTATTCAAGTGTTTTATTCATTTACTTCTTTTCAACTAAAAATGAGAAAGCATACTTTCAGTCTAAATTTTATATACTTCTCAAAAATATACTTTATGTACTTTCAAAAAATATACAACAAATTACACTTAAGTGAATTTGACTTATACTGAGAGAAAAGTCCAAGCATATTTGGCCTGTAGGCTATATACTTAATCGTTTGATCGATACTTAAAATATAATTATGTATTCAAATTATACTTGGCTTGCAGTGGGTTAACACTTTTGATCGAGTAGCCTATTAAATAACCTTTTTTTTGTTTTGTTTTTCATATACAGTTATGAAATATAATGTTTGAAAATATTGATATAAAACAGAAGAATGTGTAGAGATTTATGCAGATTTATTCTTGTTTATAAATGTTCCAACTTCTAGGAGGATTGTAGTAAATTTAATTCAGCAGACATTCAAAGATTATGAATATTAGTGAGTGTGTGGTAAACTTCAATGTTGTTGGTTTGTGAATGAAAAGTGGTTACATTTTCTGATTTGTTAACAGAAATATCAGAATACAACTTTTTAATCCACAATCAGCATGACTTTGAAATGACCTGATAACCATGACACTGCATATTTCTGTGAATAGCTACTATATGACAAAGAGGCGTTGACGTTTGAACCAATTTAATGTTGTTGTTCCATTCCATACCTACCATTGAAATGATGTCTGTCATTCTAAAATGAATTTAAATACATTCCTTATCAACACACATGCAACACAAAAAATGCTACAATTTTGCCATGATGAAATACATGAATATTTACTTTGACTCTCCTTTATGAACATTTAATAAGAACTACAATTCTTTCATCAATAGCCACAAGATGTCAGTGTTCACTCAAGTTTTAAATGAGACGAACACATTTGTGTTGCTTCATTGTACGTCACCACCCAACACCCAGTGGGGGTATTAAAATATAAGCAAAATCAGATTGTAAAGATATTGGTTAGTTGGACGTATTCCCTTTATTGCAAAGCAACCGAATTGCACGAGTGTCATAAAAATAAACCTCACTCACTCACTGTCCATTAGCTCAGATCGAAAAGATCACGACTCAGCATTTTTATTTTTTCTGGCATAAAAATTTTTTATTTCTTCTTTTTGCATATCTGTCCTAGAGGAAGACAATGTGACACTAATTTACAAAAATCAACATTATTTGTAAAACTAAATACAGGACAACATTATTAATGCAGAATCAATGCCTAAAATAAGATAGGCAAACCACTGAAGCATTCGGTATCAGACTTTAATGACGGCTTTCCCAATGTTTTCCCCCTGCAGCATCCCCATGAATGCAGCAGGCATGTTTTCAAAACCAACAGTGACATGTTCCTTACACTTCAGCTTTCCCTGTAAACCGCCAAATAAGAGAAACTGCATCATTATCCAAATATGAATACTGAGATAAAGTTAGTATCAACCAAGCAAGGATGTACCTCTTGCATCCAGGTCAACATTCGCTTTAAAGACTCCTCGTTTTTATTTTGCCACCTGCTCACCAAGAATCCTTCCATTTTCAGCTGCTTAAAAATCATGTGCATGTGTGGATAAGGACCTAAAGAGGACACACACATTATCACAGCTGTAAATGAACAGGAGTCTATGTCTACTAAATTCTTCATGTCTAATTTCATGCTTCAGTAATGGTGACTAAACTTTTTTTGCACTGTTAACAGGTATTGACTCTATAGTGTAAAGGTCATTCAAAGCACTCTCTACTGAGCTGTGTTCGAAATCATTTCCTATAACCTCATTCACTATTCCCTACATCATCACTCCATATAGTCCACTTGAAGGAGTGAATAAAAATTAATGAGTTAAATTATCATTTGAAACTTAGCAAACTGGCAACTCCAGTAGTCCCTATTGCAAAGATTTATCTTGACCTCTATCAAGAAACTAGCATGTATAAACCTTATTTATATAATTTAACAATCAATTAAAAAGGAATTTGATGTGTACCTGTATGATATTAAGCAGTACCCACATTGAACCAGAGGTTTGGAAAATGCATGATTGCATGCATGATTCACCTGTTTGTGGCATCTTCTGATGAGACGCAGGAATTAATTCAGCATGACCTTTACAATGCATTATGGGTATTCTCTGGCTGTTAAGTGTACATCAGTTACACTCATTATTACAGTCCATTGTGGGATTGATTGAGTGCACTTGATAATGTCCACTACGGTTTCAGACACCACCACTACAAATGGCTATCCTCCAAATAGTGCCCTATTTAAAGGTATAGGGGTTGATTTCGTACACAGCCCAGGTTAACAGCACCATGAGAATCACACACATTATAGAGACTCAAACCTGTTTGTGGGGTGGTGTCATTGTACATTGATATTCCTCCACAAACAGCAATACGTCCAAAAGTCTTCATCTGTGAAAGAGCAACACTCGAAAAAGGGCCGCCCACCTGAAAACCCAATCAAATCACCCAATCAAGATTACGAAGATGTCTTTAATTAAAAAGGCCCACAAAAAGGTATAGTTTTTTGACAGTTAGTATTAAAAATATATTAACCTATTAGAATCAATTAGTTCTTACATTCTCAAAATAGCAGTCGTATCCTTCAGGTGAAGCTTTCTTCAGTGCTTCTTCCAGAGATGAGACAGTCTTATAGTTAAAGGCCTCGTCAAAGCCCAGTTCCTTCAGGTATGCCACCTTTTCATCACTTCCTGCAGATCCCACAACCTTGCAACCTTTAAGTTTGGCAATTTGACCGACTACAGAGCCCACCGCCCCTGCGGCTGCATTCACCAGTAAGGTTTCTCCTGGTTTAATGGCACAGACCTCCTCCAAACCGTAGAGTGCAGTCAGCCTGTGGCACACAGTTAATGTTATCTATTATCAATTCATATTTCTATTTGGTGCCTCAAAAAAAAAAAAAAGATTCAGTACAATTTGTAAAGAAGGTGAAATAGGATAAATTAAACTTCAGATAATGACTATATCAATATGGATTAAGGCTTTGACCTACCTTTCCAAGACCATTTGTAAAAGAAGCAATTGTGGGTTTGAAAGAAGCAGTGGGTCTTACCCTGGCATGCCAATGGCTCCGATAGCATGGGAGAGGGAGACATCTTGAGGCCAGTCAGCAAAGACTTTGATGAGACCACTCCCATCTGACACAGTATGTGTTCTCCAACCACATTGACCAACCACATAGCAGCCCACAGGAAATGAAGGATTATTACTTTGAATCACCCTGTAGTCAAATTAGAAGAAAGAGACTTTGATTGGAAAAATAAATGATCACATTAAGTAAATATTTTTTTGAAAGTGGTTTATAAAATCACCAGCTCCAATAAGTTTATAGTCGGCATGAAATGGAAGTTGCGAAAAACTTGTAGTGAAATAGTCGGCATGAAATGGAAGTTGCGAAAAACTTGTAGTGAAATAACTTGTAGAACAAGACAAACTGTAGGGTGGGACTTGATTTTGTGCTTGTGACTCATGTGAGGGAGAGATTGTCCTGACTCCTGATGTCGTTGCAAGAGAGAGGGGAAGTTACTTTCATTAAAGTATACAAGGGCACATTGTTTAAAATATAATGAGGTGCACGGATAAATTATTTATAACAAACATTGCAATATTCCATAAAAATAAGAATGCTCTATTTTGATTCTGTGACTTTAAAAAAGAGAGGCATTGTCCCATTTAAAATAAAATAAATGCAAACTGGTTTTAAATGGTCTCTTAAAGTACGCACAGTTTAACAGTAATCACTTTTAACATTGTGCCAGTTTTTGATATAACAATCTAATGGTCAGTGATGGTAAATGAGATGCAAATGCATTTCTTTCCAAAGGATAACCAGACGGTTGGAAAAATCTGAATCATCATGATTTCATTTGTAATCTAGATGAGAGGGATTGAACAGAATGAAGCTAACTGTTATTGAACTGAAAGGCTATTTATTTTACTTGGCAACTTATCACAAGCTGTAAATGAACAGGAGTCTATGTCTACCCAATTCTTCATGTCTAATTTTATGCTTCAGTAATGGTGACTAAACTTTTTTGCATTGCTAACAGGTATTGACTCTATAGTGTAAAGGTCATTCAAAGCACTCTCTCCTGAGCTGTGTTCGAAATCATTTCCTTTAACCTCATTCACTATTCCCTACATCATCACTCCACTAATATAGAGTGAATAAAAATGAGTGAGGGAATTTGGACACTGATTGCAACGAAGGGCTGCTGCTTTTGTATAGTTTGTGCTAGAGGTTTAATTATCATTTGAAACTTAGCAAACTGGCAACTCCAGTAGTCCCTATTGTGAAGACTTATCTTGAACTCGATCAAGAAACGAGCATGTATAAACAGGAAAAGCTATTTCTTTTACTTGGCAACTTGAGTTCCGATCATCACGTCTCCTGGTTGCATTCGAACACGACTGTAGGGTCTAAAAGAAATTAAAAAGATAAAATTGTATATTATGGGAATATAAAAATGAATGCCTCAAACATTTCACACAAATCAAAAAAGTAATCATTTTCAAAAAAGCACGATCAGTATGACATTAAGGCGCTTAAATACAGATATTGGTGCAGCAGCTTATTACAGCTTTCTCACTTACCGCATATAAGGGTCCACACTAAGGAACAGTGCCTCCAGAAGAACCTCTGAAGAGCAAGAATAAATGATATTTAGAGCAAATTTGAAAAATATAATGTGAAATTTAAAGAGAACAGACCTCCATCTCTGGGCTCCGGGAGCTTCTCTCGTTTCAGCTCAAAGTCGGTGTCTTTGGGAAAGCCCTCAAAGTGCTGCTTCAGAATCCAGGTTTTAGCTTGAGTCATGGCTCTTTGTTTGGAACAGTAAAAGCAAGCAAAATTATTATTGCATACATAAGTTGACACATGCAAAGTGTAAAAAGAAAGTCGTGTAACCTTCAAACAACAGACTGCATTGATTTGCTTATACATCACATCAGCAATATAGCCTAAAAAAGTAGGGTAACTAGTTTGTATGACATAACTAAGTAACTGTAATAGTATAAAGTAATATAAATGAATCTCAATTCCAGCAACTGACTCTTTAGCCATTTTCAAAAAATGTCAAAAGACATCTTTTTCGTTAGCACCTGACCAGTTAATACTAGCGCTTACCGTTTCTTTTCTATACTATTTGTTTTGTTTTTCTGATTTAAAAAAAACACTTGCTTTGTGTACTGTGCTGTGGTCTGATTGCTTCTGTCTGAAGCGTCTGCTAAATGATAAATGCAAGAAACCATTCTTTCTTTCGCAGTACGTAAACTGTGGAGCATGATATAAGTGACAAAATAACTAGTGATTAAACACGACGACAACAACAAAAACAATATGTAGCCAATACTTTAAATTGCTTTCAAAAAATGAATAATTTCATAATAGACTTTATACTGTGCTGAAGCATTTTTTAGTATTGCCTTAAGTGTTACATTTTCAATATTCAGAAACATTTAAGTTATTCTTCTTGAAATAAGTAACCATAAGCATACACACCCGTTAATGAACACAAAGCTCTCTGAATATTCTTCCTACTGTTGCGCAGAGAGAACTTGTTTAAGACCCTCCCACTGCCGAATCTCAATCATGTGACCTTTTGTATTTATCTGATTGGCAAACTAGATTTGTCAATCATCTTCAAGAGGCTTCTGATTCTTCACCAAGTAAGTCAACTTATATATATATTTTTATACAGTTTTAAGCAGCATTATAATAGTTTTCCAACTCCTGTGGCAATAAATAAGCTTTTGAAATAAAATAGTTTGAGAACCACCCACCCTCATGTCATGTGACGATTCTGACGAAAGCAAGCGCGGGCATTTCGGAAGTGCTGCACGCAAGCGAGAAAGAATGCAATAACTTCACATCAAAACGCAAACGTTGCTGTTTTTAAAGGTAGGGATATTTTAAATTATATAAGTTACTGCTTTGTGACATACATGTCAAAGTCCGTTTTAACTGAATTGTGGCAAATGTATTAGCGGTTGTTATCTGATTAGCAAGCAAGATAAAGAGCTCGGTTTAACGGCTCTTTGATATTCAAAATATTGTATTCATCTGATATTCTGAAGTAAAAGCTAAAGCAACTTTGACTTTAGCTGTCTTTGCGGTATTGGACATGACCATAGACTTAAGGGGAAAAAAACTTTTTGTGGAAACTACTTTCTCCAAATCTGTTTTCACAGAAGAACAATATGAGGTTAAATTATCACAGCGATGCAATGTTATTAACTTTTTATATCAGTCACTTTCATCATGTCTAACTGCAGCAGACGTAAGTGAACGTTGTGTGGAGTTAATGGCTAACTAACTAACGTTATGCTGAAAGACTCTAGATAAGAAACTACAAAATAAGTGCCCTTTGATGAAACATTGATTAAAAGCTGAGCAAAGCAGTTTGTTTATAACCTGTTCAACTTAAATTGTTAAACATTTTTCAATTTAAAATGTGTTGTGAGACTATACACATTCTGTTTAAATTGTAACTGGTCATTTTTTGTTTTGATTGGTAAAAATTATTCAATTCTAAAAATATTTATGTTACAGTTTGTAAATAGCCTTACTGGAACCTTCATTTGCATTGGTAGTGTGTGTGTGTGTGTGTGTGTGTGTGTGTGTGTGTGTGTGTGTGTGTGTGTGTGTGTGTGTGTGTGTGTGTGTGTGTGTGTGATAAATAAATTACTCCTTGATTTTAAATAATTATAAATGTTTTTTGAGCACCAAAACAGCATACACTTATTTCAATTTAAGATGAAGCTACACTGAAGACTGAAGTAATGATGCTAAAAATTCAGCTTTACAGCGTTTTATACATATACATATATATATATATATATATATATATATAGACCATTTCACAAGATGTAAACAACACTGGTCCAGAAGCACTTCCTGTTTCAGTTTTTTAACACTACATAAAAGCTGGGATAAAATACAACCAACAGAACATTTAAAACTGAATCAAAAAGTTAAACAAACATCTTTAAGATGTTTTCTTTACATGTGAAATAAAGAAAACGGTTACAAACTGAAACAGGAAGTGCTTCTGGACCAGTGTTGTTTTTACATCTTGTGAAATGGTCTATCTATCTATCTATCTATCTATCTATCTATCTATCTATCTATCTATCTATCTATCTATCTATCTATCTATCTATCTATATATATATATATATATATATATATATATATATATATATATGTGTGTGTGTGTGTGTGTGTGTATTTAAAAATTGTAGTAATGTTTCCACAACATTACGGTTTTGACTATATTATTTTGATTAAATAAATGAATGAGACTTCTTTCAAAAACATTTTGAAACCCAAACTTTTGAACGGTAGGTTGTGTGTGTATGTTTTCCAGTTTGCACACAGTACAGTATTTTGCAGCACTCAACTCGGTGGGACCTCCTTTTGTAAGTACATATATTAAGTCAGGCTTGCCATAATGTCCTTTGACTATCTGCCATAGGATAACTGGATAACTGAATATCTGACGTGTGAGCCGAGTTCACATAAGCAGACATGCTGGATGGGGCTCAGTTCGTTGAGGCGTTGTCACGGTTGGGTTACCCACGGGCATCTGTGCTGAAAGGTTCTGAATTTGACTGGTTATTTGACACCGCACCAGAAAACCTGCACCTTTTACGTGTCGTCTGCAACCGCCTAAACCGCAGCAATGTTCTAACGCCAGAAGAATTGCAAGCATACAAGGCACTCCAGGAGTCTGGTAAGCCCAACTTGGATGAGGCAACTCTGGCTGAGCTGCTTAAAACCTGCTTGCCTGTGGATGGAGGTGTAGGGTCACAGGGCTGTTCTGCACTGGGTGGAGAGGGAAATGTGACAATTGAGGACCTCGAGACAGAACTTCAAGCTCTCCGAGAGGAAAAGCAGCTAAAACAACGCAGACTCAACAAGCTGCAGATGCTAGCTACCAACTGGGGTGCGAACTCCTCTGCATCCCAAGCACTGCTGCAGGAAGGAAGCAATGTGGTAAAAGATGCCAACTCTGCCTTGGCAGCTGAAAATGCATGCACCAACTCAGCAGTAGAGAACTTGTCAAAGGAGACCACCAAACTGGCTGGCTTTTTCCAAACCAGCCCTCAATTACTTAGGAGCAAAGATGGAGCCGCTCCACCTTTAGTTCCTCAATCAGGAACCCCAGTACTCCCCTCTCAGTTGTCTCTAGAGCCGTTCCTCCAGCAACAGGAGCAATTCACCAAAGCGTTGGCTGCCTACACTCAGCGTCAGTTCTTTCAGGGCATCTCGGACATGATGGAGAGCTCCACATTCAATCGCTGCCAGCTGACAAATCTGAGCTGCTGCAGTGAGAATGAGGAAGAAGAGAAGGATGGACTAGTGGAGCTCAGGAGGAAAGAGATGGCACAACTCCAGTGGGCATATATAGTGGCACAGTACCAGCTGGTGAAAGAGAGGGCAGAGGAGTGTGGTGACAAAGCAGCAAAAGAGTGGCTCATCCAGCAAATGGTAAACAAAGAGGTAAACACAGTTTAACTGCTGATACTTTTTATCGCAATCTGTGTTTCCTTTGGTCCTTTATTTTTCAAGACTTGTAAAGTTGAACAGAAGCAAAGACTAAATACACCATGCAAAAGTTTAAGTCACTAAGTTTTTATTTCTTTTAAGAAATTCAGCAAGAGAATGCATTAAACTGATGAAAAATGACAGTAGATATTCATAATGTTACTTAATAAATTTATATTTCAAGTAAATGGTGTTCTTTTGAACTTTCTATTCATCAAAGAATCCTGAAAAAGTGTAATTATGTTTTCAACAAAAATATAACAATAAAAATGTTATTAATGTAAAAAAATATTAAGAAATATTTCTTAAGGAACAAATCAGTTTTTTAAAATGATTTCCAAAGGATCGTTTGACACTGAAGGCTAGAGTAATGGAAGTTTTAATATTTCACTATTTTACTGTATTTTTGGGGGGAGGGGGTATTGTGGTTAAAAAGTTAATACTTTTACCACTATTCTAACATGTTCCCAAGTAAATTTGGTTGTAGATAAACACACTGTGCTGCATGCAAGGAGATTAAACGTGTGCATGTGACTTTTGAATAATTATAGAGGCATTATTTTCTGTATAATAATGTCTCTTGGATTGAGTATTACCTATAATTTTTCCTAATTTTCATTTTTCCCTCCCTCTTGTAGTCTCTGTGCTACTCACATGTGAACAGGCTTGAGCCTGATCTAAGGTCTGAGATCCTCTCAATTCAGTCTGAAGTTCAGTCTCTAATGTTAGACCCAGTCCGCTCCGCATTACGAGACTGTGCCCGCCTCCTTAACATCCCTGTGGTGCGTGGTGACCTCACTCTTCAAGTAGCCAGGCAAAATTACTACACCTCCAGACAGAGCGAAGTTCGCAACCAGCTTCTCAGTCAGAAGGCCTTCTTCGAACTCGTGCGTCTAGCCCAGGATGCTGAGCTCCTTAAGGGGAAGAGGTTGATGGAGCAGCTTGATGAAATGGTGAAGAGGCTTGAGGGGGCAGCAGAAGCTGCTAGTCAGAGAGAAAACACTCTGACACAAACTCAATTGACTCAAGTCCCCTACCTTGGTCCTAATGCTAAACAACAGATCATGAGCTCCAAGGACACAGCCTTTAGCAGGTAGCCCACCATGTGTGGAGAGAAGTTTAATTTAAAGTTTTTTACAGTTTCATAATCATGATGTAATGCAGGTTGAGATTGTAAGACTATATCCTTTGTTCATCCTTCAGGTTGCTGCAGATGCTCGAGATGGATAAGGCCTCAATGGAAAGAGAGGAGCCATTCCAAACCTACGGTAGGCTGGAAACAGCAGCCTCCAAACTACAGGAGAATCTGGTCAATGTACAAGAGGCTTTGGATGGGGCCAGACGAGAGCAAGCCTTTACTGGAGCTCGTTTAGAAAGTGACCGAGATGCGCTCGACCAAGTGGCATACTCGGACATTGTGCTGCCTCTCCTGAGGCCGCAGGTATGTGCTACAGCCACATCTGCATTGGAGCTCTGCCCTCATGCACAGGTATGTCTTTCTTGTCTTTCTTTTTTTTTTTCAACCTTACCGCCGTTTTCTACATCATCCCTTGTGAATCCCAAGAAACGTGAGCAAATTAATTTGTCATCTTTCATGACTTTTATAAAGCATGCACCTCTCATCTTTGTTTGGTGGTGGATTTTTCTGCTTAGTAATTTTGTTTTGTTGCTGTTCTATGACTTGGTGTTGTCATTCTTTGTGGAAAGATTCAAAATATGTCTGGCTTCTGTATTCTTTCATGTCACTGCAACACCTCACTGTTTGTTTGGTTTTTTTGCTCCTATGAAAACAGGCTTTTTAATGAAGTTAGGCCAGAATCGCTTTTGGAGTTTTAAATGGACCTTACATTTTAGTTGTTTTATCTATTTGTATATTTTAACCTGACATTTAAAACAATTCAATATTGTTTACAAAACAATATTTCTTCTCTTCACTTCCCATTTTTAGGTAATCCGTAAAATTTAATTTCTTGCATACACAGAAAGAAATCAGTGTTCATTTAAGCCTAGTTCACACTACGTGATTTTAAGCCCGATTTAAGCCCGATTTGCAAATCGTTGAGTCGCCGACAAGTCAGGGTGTTATCGCGTGCAAATCGCGGGCGATTAGCGGACGATTAACGCTCGCCAATCCGTTAGTGTGAAAGAGCCAACAACGCATCAAAGACAGCTCGCAGACAGCTCGCAGACAGGTCACCGAGCTCAGAAAAATATCTAGCCTGCTAGATATCTCGAGCAGTCGCGCGACTCAATCTCAGTGATGTCATGAGTACAGCCAATCATAGCAACGCATGGGTTGAGGACACCAGGTAAATCTTACTTTTTCTTTTTTGCATTTTTTTCTCAGAGCAGATCGTCGAGCAAACAGTGTGCAGCACTAGTTTCTGTCTGACGTCCATATTCGCGTGTTATGTTCTTCTCTGTAGTTTCGCGTCATTTCTGGTTCGTTTTATTGCGTGGTTTTTCGTTACAAAACATGGTTTCTAGACCAGATAGAATCGTGTTGTTGTCAACTCGTTATTTGTTTGATTATTTTCAGGATTTAGACTGTATACTATAGTACTGAAACAGCTCTCATTGAGTCACAAATGATATGCTCTTATCATCCGATCGTGGTTGTATCTCTATGCAGTGCGTTGTTAACTCGTGTAGTGAGTTACCTCCTGTTGTGGATCAATCACGTTGTGCTGTGTGGTGTGAACAGCTAAACAACTTGAACACTCATGATTTCACTGAGAGCAAGTCATGTAATGTGAACTGCACAGTTCAGCCCAACATTTTAAAATCATGTAGTGTGAACTAGGCTTTAGAAGTTTAAATCCTCTCTATCTGACTTGTTCCAACCTGCTCTCTCTGTATAGGAGCTCACAATTGTTCTAGATGAGCTGGAGGTCAAGCAAAAGACCTTGTACACACTTCTTCAGGACATAGTTGGAGACTTGAAGGCCAAACGAGGGAGACTTGAACGCAGTGCCTCCCTGAGGAGAGAAAGGGAACTCTACGTCTATTTCCATCTGGACCCAAGACTGCTCAGTAGGGCAGTGAGAGATATAGAGGCTCGAGCAGGAATGTAGATCTCCTTTGTGTTCACAAGCCAACATATACAGATGTCCCTGCTGCAAAAATATGTCTGACTGAGAAATTAATGTTAGATGGAGATTAGGACATGAACCATTGTTGCTTCTATGTTGTCGAGCTCCATAGATTTTATATTCTTGTGTATTATTCTTTTTTAATCTGCTAAAAGTTAATGTTCTTAAGGTATGTCAAATTAGTGTTCAATGCCTACAGTTTCACATTAATTTGCATTTGTACTTTTACAAATGAGCCACACCATGTATGAATAATGTTACTTGTATATGTTTTGTGATTAAACTGTTCTATCTTTGTGAATAAACATGTATGTGATGGAGCAAATTTTTTTTGTGTGCGTATTCAAAACTTCTTTAAAAATGCAGTTAAGAATTTAATCTTATTAAAAAGACCACAAGAAAAGACGAGTCGATTGTATTATATTGTGATAGATCTGAGTTGACTGACAGACATTGGACCAATGTGTTTCTTTTCCACTCATATATTGTGTAGTGCAAGAGTATGACAGCAGTGTTGCTTGTCCACATTTGATCCCTTGGGCCTTCACCTCTTCTAAAATTGCACTGCTATTTTTTGCATATGTGACTACAGGGTTAAGACAGACTAGAAGAGCAGGAAATGAGATGGAGAACTACCTCTGCAGCAGTCTGAACGCAGCTCCTCTCTCAGCAGCTGCACAGAGCATCATAGCAGCCCTTCAGTTCCAGTATGTGCATAGAGCAGACAGAAGCAGAGCTAGTGAGTTAGAAACATTCCAACAATATTATTAACTTGAGATAAGTTATGGCCTATTGAATTTTGTATTTTATTGATTTGTTCACACTCAACTGTCTGTCTGAGGGAATCTGTTAATTCAAAATTACAGCTTTGAGTAGTAGAGGCTTCAGACTGTCTCAGCATCAGGGCAGACATGACAGAAATCAAGAGATGTGCATCAGGTGAGTAGTAAGGGTTTTGGATGTATATTGAGCAAACAATACTTGTTATATTATTTTCTTTACTACAAATAAAATGATTGTTCATTTGATTGTTTTGAACTTAAAATGCTGACTGTCTTTGCCTTGAACATATTAACATTTATAGTATTTATTCTCTGATTGTGTTATCTTCTAATTCACATGTTTTTTCTCTCTTTAGAGACTTGGAGTTAAATAATCTGGCAGAAGACTCAAACCACTTCATGTTAAAGGATGAGACCAGTAATGAGAGGTTAGCACTCTACTGTGCTCTACACACAGCCTCATATACAGGTAGCACAGGGAGAAAACTATTTATGCTTGTTCCACTTTAATAGCATGGGGAGCCCTCAGGCTAGACCAGACGTTATGACAAAAGAAGAGATCCATAAACTGACCTTGGGTAAAAGGCGGTGGATTCAACCAGCAAGCCCCATTGAAGAAGGCCCAGTAGGTTGTAATCAACATGAGGCTACCCCAGAGAAGAAGATCAGCTTTAGCCAGCTTACGTTGCCTACTAACAACTGTCATCCAGCATCCAAAGAAGAGTGCAAAATGATTTATAATGTGGACAAGCAGAGTAAGAATGGACAGATAGACCAATTATGGAGCTGTCGATCTGGGTTGACAGAGAACGATAAGTATGATTCTGTTTGCGAGGAAATCTCAAAAGAGGCCAGAGCTGACACAGCTGTGTTTATACAAGTGCAGCATAATAGTTTTATATCTAATGGAGAGAAACCAACATATAAGTATCAGGATCTGGAGACCAGCCATTGCCGGCAAGATAATCAAAACTCTGAATGGTCAGCTCCAGTGGAATGTTGTGCATATGCCAAAAGATGTGGGAGCATCTTTGTCTTTGAATGTGAGCAACACACACCTGTTAGGCCAGGTGAAATACTGGACTCAGGGAGGGAGAAAGAAGACAGCGACTCAGAAAGAAGAGAGATTACTAAGAGCAGAATTAGTAAGTACAACGCTTGATCGACATCTAGACAAATACATTAAAAAAAACCCTATTCTTTCTATTGTATATTTTACCAGTGTTCCAGCTTTAACTTGGCTGAACATTTTTCATTTGCAAAAAAAATGTGTAACAGTTCTTGATCAAACCAATTTCAGAGTGTTATCAAGATAATTAATAATTTGTGGATTGATGTTTAAAATAATTTTAGATGGTGTATAGCACATTGCAGGACATGTCAACTTTCCATAAATACAAGCTAATGATACAACAGACACTACCCACTGGACAGAAATTACCTTTTTTTTATCACTCATGCAGGTTCTCCCAAGCCAGATGAGAATACAATTCCGATGCCTGTTGAAGAGAGAGCTGGAAAGATGGAGTCTACAGTACACCCCACCAGTGTTGGTGTGCAGCACAGCATCCAGCCCCAGTCTCAGGTAATGTACATACTCTCGCTCTAGAGCAGAGAGAAGGCAGTCCTGGCTGTGTTATGTCATCAGATAGGTCCTTTTTAGTCTAATTTTCTGTTATCATTGTATATTTCCCTTTCTACCCTGCAAATAACACTTCATCTATGAGGTATCCTGTGTGAGACTGTGATAAGAAAGTGCAGCACAAGTAAAAAAAAAAAAAAAATATATATATATATATATATATATAAATATAATATTATATATAGGAAGTTTTCTTTGTACAGAAGGAAAAAAATGAAGACTTCCCTAGAGTTATAAAGTACAAAGTATCAGAGTGATAAATTGACAATGAACTAAGCATACACACACATACAATATTCTATTACAATCCAAAGGACAGCATTCTTTCACCTGCTCACTGAGTTATCTAGACAGAAATCACTAAATTCTATATTTTCTATAGCATAAACATAGCCTGGATGCCAGACCGAACTTCCCGTCCAAAAAATGTTGTGGGCGGAGTTCGGGCTGGCATCCAGGCTATGTTTATGCTCGATCCATTGAGGAGTAATGGGCTCTATGCACGGCGGTATTTCCGGTGAAGGTGTAAGAAAGCTCGATAACTTCCGCCGATCGTAGAGTCCAATGCAATACCGAAAATTTATATAGAATTTTATACTCCATGGTTATACTAAAGAAACGTTAGTCACAAAAACAGATAAAACAGACACCCCTCGTTGTGTTTATGCTTCTTTTTAAAATTATATTAAATAAAAAAACTATATATAAAATGACATCTAAACGTATGTATGTTTCGTTTCAAAGACGGGAGGAAAGTAAATTTTGAAGACTCTGCCATTATCCCATTTTCCTCGGTTTTCCTCCGCTTAAATCTCCACAACCGGAAATGGACGAGCATCATTGCGTCAAATGCGGAACTTATGCGTGCATATAGCCCATTATGATCGGTTCAGAAATCATTGGGCCAATCAAATTGCCAGGGCGGGCTTTGAGATATGTTTTCTCTTGTTTGGTGGGTGTGTCAGAACTGCAATCCAATCAGCAGCAACATACATAAAGCACGCGGTATTATAAAGTGAACTCACACAATGGGTTCAAGGAAAATAATTTACAAATGTGTTCAATGCAGATCGCTATATGCAACAACTGAGGATATTAGAAGATATGTTTGTCATTTATTGTAAAAATATAAGATATTAACATGATGTAGTTTATTATATTTTTTAGCTTCATTGCAAGTGTATGACATTGGTATAGAAATAAAAAATAAGTGCTTTTCCTAAAAATGAGAAAGAAAATATGTTATTAAAACATTATGAAATACAAATAAAGTTAGTGTGTGAGGCTAAACAGAATGTGTTTTAGTCTGAATTAAGTAATGTGTGCTTTCAGTTTTCACAAATCCCTTCAATTGATTGGGATGTTCTCTTGTGTTCTGGGCGGCAAGTGCAGTTACTGTAACATCGGGCATATTTTGTAATATTAAACAAATATTTATACCGACTTCATCAGGCTCTGAAAATTCTTCTCAAAGAACACAGAGAACGGCCTTGTCAGGCTCCATAGTTGCAACTCTTGCGTTATCAGAACGGGGTGTTCAACGCATCACCGTTTCTGTTTAAAAAACGTTGTGCAACGTTTTGTCCGGGCTGAACGCAGCCCTGGTTCGGTTACGACACGCCTCATAATCAAAGCCCAATGGAGGAGTTTCAGACTCATATTCTTTCTTGAATATGAGTATGACGAAGTCAGGCTAGCATAAACATTAAAAAGCCCCTATAATCTGTGGATCTATTATCTAGTGTGCAAGAATGTTTTGATCCTGAGTGCTTGTAGCTTTTTTTTTAAACTTCTTTCAAGGTGAAACAGCCTACTAATGAATAATGGAAATCTCTTACTGCAGATGTCTGTTACATAAAGAATCACAGGGGTCGTTTAGAGGTTGACAAAGTCTTGTCCTTGCAGTGATAAAAGTGTAGGTGAATCAGTCTGAAAACTGCTTTAGAGAGCTTTATTAGTGACAGCCTGGGAACTGTGTGTGCATATTCTCTTTTTGATGCTTTTTTAAGCTGATTTGTCTGGCACTGACATCCACACTTTGAAATAGAGGGTTGCGTGCGGATGGCTGCCTGCTGCCGATTTAAGCTTTTTGGTGTTATGAGATTGACTTTATTTGCATTGCTTTTGTTAAATATTCTCTTCACATGTGAAATAAGAGATAGTGTGAACTCAAATGTCCTCTTTTTAAACTCTACCTGAATTTGTTTTCTTGGGATACAGGCTGGTGAGGGAAAATCTTTTCCAAAGCATATTAGAAAATGGAATCCCCCTGGTTCCGTACAAGAAGCTCCTAAGATCACTTCATCCCATGAGTTGTGTGATAAGACACTTAGAAACCCGACATTGTGCCATGCAAAAGTAAAGGGCTCAGTGCAGCTCTTAAAACCAAAAGCTCCACAGTCTGGTGTCAAGAGGCAGAGACATCCCCTCAGACCACAGAAAGAATCTAAGAGGCAAGAATGCAATAAACCGAATAACTTTAAACTCCCCAACCCCTCTGATCCAAGTCTGTCAGGATCCAAAATAAGCTATCAAATGTCTTCAGAAACAGATATAAAAGAAGATGGAACCACAGCAACTTCTAGAGGGGCTTTTAGTTTGATTTCTGATCCCAGGGTGTGTGACACAGGCCGTCTCTCACAAGAGGATAGAGAATGTATGTTAGAGGAGGTTGGAAAAGCGAAAGCATTAGTTGTCACCATGGTATACCAAGATGGCACCATACAACTGGACCCAGAACAGGTGTGTTTACAGATTTATTCCATGATATTCATCTAAATAAGTTTAAAGAAGAATAAGAAATGAATGCTTAATTTCAGCAATGATATATTAAATTGATCAAACATTACAGTAAATACATTTATAATGTTACAAAACATTACTAATTTCAAATATTTTTTTTTTTCAAATCCTGAATAACACCATTTCTACAAATATTAAGCATTACAAATGGTTTCAACATTTATAATAAGAAATATTTCTTTAGCACCAAATCAGGAGTAATGGATGCTGAAAACTCAGCTTTGCCATCACAGAAATAAATGATATTATCTGTAATTTAAATTTTTTATAATATTTAAAAAACTCGACTCATACAAGGCACATTGAAAGAATTTCAAATTTGTGCGAGTTGTAATGTATGTGAGTGTATATGTATATGTAATGGCTTGGTGTGTTCAATGTCTCTAAAGAGGCTGTGCCCTGCTGTGTGTGGCCTGCTGGTTTTGCTGAAGACTGATTTGGATTCAGAGGGACTACAGGACAGGCCACCAGAGAGGGTGCTATACCTCAGACTAGAGCAGACACCAGCCTGGGCCCAACAAGACTTGATACAAAAACCGGATGCCTTTACCAGGTGTGCTTATATTTTTTGGAGAGGAAATTATAAAAAAGACAGAGTGTTTGTCTATTCTCCCTACTATCCCTGCTTTTTTCTGTCACAGATTCTTTTTTTTTTTAAGGTATACTGTTACATGTGTAATGTGGTCACTGTAGGTGTGGATATAATATTAGAGATGCTGTAGGTGGTGTTCAGTGTGTGTTTCTCTGTATCTGCTTGTGTCCTTAGAGAGCTGTTGCTGCGAATGATGTGTGGCACAAAGCTTTTTGTGTGCTTTAAAGCTAAAGACCTGCTTCGCACAGCATTGAGACACTTTAGCAGAGACCTGAGCTGGAAACAAGGTGACTCATATGAAGGTCCTTTATCTCTGACTAAACAGTTACCATGTTATGTAGGATTCAAATTCTAAGACTACTTGACATTTTTTTTTAAAAACTGGAAGTGAACAGTGGGTTAAGGCATCAAAAAGTTGATAAAATGTTAAATTTTGTTCTATAATTCTGTATTATGTTGTAACATAAATATATTCTATCCTTTTTTTCTAAGTCAATCATTTTTTAAAGCAAATTTGTCACTTGTTAACTCCTTTTTTTAGAAGGTTAGATGTTCTCGAAACACTCAAAATGCTCTTAAAATCATGCGGTCAGCTTGAGTGCTGCTGTCATTAAGGCTTGTGATGATCTGTTATCACCATTTAATGTTTTATATATTTGAGCAAATCATTTTATGCCGGACTGCCTCACATAACGAGGGTCAGATCAACGCTAGATTTGCTCAAAAAATCGCTTTCGGGTTGAGCTTTCTGCACAACTGGGGTATAGGTTGCCAGGTTGAGATGACAAACGGGTTGATATTGTATATGGTGTGTCAATTGTGTGAAGTATAATGTATTTAATACAAGATCTGGCAACTGGTCAACATTAAAGAAACATTTTGGTCCGATTATTCATAAAGGAGTTTGGGCCATGCAAATTACGGGGGTTTCCCGGGAGAAATAACAAACTGGGTGGGGTCCGGGAGATGGGGCTAAAAAAATGGGAGAAACCCAGGAAAAACGGGAGTGTTGACAGGTATGGCTCTCACTAATGGACCCACTTTATATTCACAAAAGTTGGAAATACTGTTTCAATTTAGACATTACCATTAGATATAGACTTTTAATACATCTAATAATGTTTTAAAAGAATTTGGGAACACTGATATTGTGGGTAATATTTGAGGAATTTGTGACTTTTGATTTCTGATTCTGTGCAGTGTTGGGGTGTCAAGTCATGGATCCTCAGATTGCTGCGTGGCTGTTAGATCCTGGCAACTCTGCTACGTGCTTTCAGACCCTGCTTTCCAAACACTACACGCATCCAGTTCCACCCACACTGGAACCTGTGCTTGGGCAAGCCAAGGTCAGGATAATACACTTGATTCAATAAATGGTCAGGAAAAGCCCCAGCAGCTGTATTTGAATTTTGAGTTGGTAACAACACTTTTACTGGTGACATTGTCTTACTGCTTTATAAGGTGACTCGAGCGATTTCAAATTTGTCTCTTCTACACAAGCTAATGGTGGAATTACAAAACAAGCTTCAGGTAATTGAACCTGAATCTTTTCGAAATAAAGCATAATGTACACTGTTTCTCAGTTTTCTCTCTTGTGGCACTTTTTTTCACTGCATGGTACGGTACGACACAGTTCGGTACAGCACGCTTTGGCGCTTTTCCACTGCATGGTATGGCTCGGCTGGGTGTGACGCACTTTGTGGCGCTTTCCCACCCACTACGGTACGGCTCGCTTTAAATGGTATCTCTGTTGAGGTTCCAAGTTTACCGTACCAATACTAAAATGTGATGTGAAAACACTGCAGATCACTGATTGGTAAGACAGAATCGTCACTACCAGTGTCATTGTATTTGCAAGACATCAAACCTGCTAGATTTAAATAGCCAGTAATAGCACCTGTTTTAAAACTATCCTTGAATTGCTTGAAGAAAAAAGAAAGAAAAAAAACTTTCAAAAAGGAAATGGCTGAATGGTCAGTGGATGAAGTGCAGACGTTCCTCTCGTTAGTTGCAGTGGAGGGGATAAACTAAAACGATCAGTCTATAATCCCACCCGATTTGAAGCAGTGCTAACTGCAGTGGAAAAGCAAACTGAGCTAAAACGAACCGTGCTGGGCCGAATCGTACCACGCAGTGGAAAAGCTAGCCGAGCCGAAGCATACTGAACCATACCATGCAGAGGAAAAGCGCCATTACTCAGAATTTTCCGCCCTTGTCTGTCTTTTTCTCTATAGACTCAGGGGCTGTGGCAGCTCTATTCTGGCATAGAACAAAAGATGATTCCAGTTCTGGCAGGTCAGAGCAAACCGATTCATTATTCTAGAGATGAAAAGTGAATGATTTAACTTACAGAATCTCACCATACTGCATATCCGTGATTTTTTTTTCTGATTTTATGATATGAGTTTATTTCCATTTTTATGGAATATCACTGTATCGCTGCTTTAAAGTTCCCCCTGTTGTCAATTATGTTATCCCTTGAAGTCGTCATGAAATAAAAATGTATATTTACTTTGTTAGCGCACATTACTAGTCTTGTGGTAAATAATAAATCAACGCAAGTTAATAGACAGAACATTTTTTTTAATGGTAATCTTTAATCAAAATCTGAACATTTGCTTTCGCTCTGGAATGGCATTTCTTTTCTGATGTCAGTTTGATGGCTTGGGTTAAATATCCTTAACCACTCCCTCCAACCATCATTTTTCTATGAACGAGGGATGGAGAGGAGGTTCACCAAAATAAAACCCTGCCCTCTATTCAATATTCCGTTTCCCTTGAAAATACGTCACAACACTAGAGAAAAGTCGGTTGCAACTTCGGTTTACATGGACTTTTTGTTAATCAAAATGCAACATTTTAACTTTCTTATTCTTGTTAACATTTCTTCATGCCTTAAAATAGCTTGTAATGTGAAGGGGAATGTTGTGAATGTTACTCCACACCCTTGCTTCATTTAGTATACACGGAACCGTGAATATGCTAATTAGTCCCTGCCTCTACTCACTCACACCAGATCAGACTACCTGATCCACTCGCTCAACTTTACTGTAGTAAACGCTGTTTAATGGCAAGTGGAAATACTGTTTTAATTCAGCAATACATGTTTGAACAGAAACAGATTCAGAAGAAGTGGAAGAGTGAATTATACTGGGTCGTCTACAAGTCCATCATGACTTTTGCGTAAACATACACGCTTCATGAGATCAGTCTGACAAGTCAATGTATCAGAATAGTAATGCGTTTTATGTATCACTCTCTACAACATCTGACCCATAACGTTCACTGATGTGATTAGTCTTTGGCCTGACTGTTATCAAACAGCTTATAATGTTTTGTTAATGGTACACACATCATGTTCCCGTTTGCCATCTCAGAGTTAGACAGTTGCCTTCTAAAATCAGCATCCTTAAAAATGCTTTGAACATCATAGAAAGTCAGTGTAGAAAAGCCTCGCCCTGCATGTTGATGGGATTGGTTACATGTTTGTGATGGTAGGAAACAGGGCCGGTGTTGTGCCGAATTTCGACTGCCTGCCAAATTATCCCCCCTCGTTGAAGTCACTACCTGATATCCTAAACCCCTCCCCACAACTAATCCTAAATTTACCAATAATAGGGGGTAATAATTTGTCGGGGGGCAGAATTCAGCACAGTGCTGAATTCCGTTTTTGAGACAATTAATTTGCACATGGTTTGTCTTAAAGCATATTAAAAACACCACATAAGACATATAAACAACATTAAAAACACGCTGAGTCATATTTTTCTGTTGTTTTCTGTTATTTTGTGTTGCCTTTGTAATATGTTGATATTACATTTTATTAGCTTTTTACAGCACATTGGGCAACTATAGTTGCAATAAATTGTTCTATATAAATTAGGGTGACCATATTTTGATTACCAAAAACCAGGACACTCGGCCCGGCAAACACATGGGCCAACTCAAATGATACTCGAAGTTTACTCAAAGATATCTTATTAATTTCAATACATTTAAAGTAGGTTTTGCCACCTCTGTATGGATAGAAAATTGTTATATTGTTATATGAAAACAGGACAGTTGGTCACCCTAATATAAATACAATAAAGAAAGAAAGTTTTTATTTTCACCACAGGGGCTATTTTGCATTTACAATGGAACCAATAATTTTAAGATGCTGCTTTAACATTATTCTTGCTCTCTCTCAGCAATGGAGAGCTATAAAATGCACGTGGACAAGGAGGCATTGAAAAAGACTTCAGAGATGTTGGGGGTAAGAGTTTGTGTATCTGATTCTTTGAAACAACTATAAACTGATTTTCTCAGGCCTATCTGCCCTGAGGGAAATAGAATGTCTGTTATATGTAGTTAATATTAATCTACTCATCTGTCACTGCTCAAGAAGTATATTATCAATTAACTTCTTATCCTCACTCATATGTGAGAATGACACGTATATTGTTTTCTCTAGTGCTATATTAATTTCATAGGCTTCTACACTTTTCACAATTCCTCCTCTTCTATTGTTCTTCTACATTTCTCTCATCCTTTCCCATGTCTCTTGTGCTGTCTCTCTCTCAGTCTAAGCTGAAGCAGTTAGAGCAGGAGGCTCACCAGGCTGCAGGTCAAAAGTTCCTGGTATCCAGCAGTGCTCAGCTCAGACTGGTCAGTGTTTTTGAATGGCTTTGCTGACCTTTTTTCATGCCTAAAACGTCTATTAAGTACGTCACTAGGTTTTGAAATAAGGTGCCCTCATGCCCAGTCAGTTCATCTTGTCCTGTCTTTGGTCTGTTGATAGGTGTGTATAGTGTAAATGTGTAAAGAAACCTCTCCTTCTTTTTAGATCCTCTTCGAGAAGCTGCGTTTACATGAACTTTGTGAGAATAAGAAGCTTCCCAAAACAATCAAACAACAGCAGTCAACATCAGAAACAGCTGTGAGCACACATCTAATGTCCTTATATGTGCACATAACAACATGGTTGATGGTCTCATAGGTGTTATTGTTTATATTTAATTGTTGTCTGCAGCAATCTTAATGCTTTGGGCCAGATTAACTAAATTCTGGGGACACACTTAAAGGGTTAGTTACCCAAAATGAAAATTGTCATTAATGAATCACCCTTATGTCGTTCCAAGCTCGTAAGACCTCTGTTCATCTTCGAGACACAGTTTAAGATATTTTAGATTTAGTCCGAGAGTTTTATGTCTCTCCATTGAAAATGTGTATGATATACGTACTGTCCTTGTCCAGAAAGGAAATAAAGACATCGTCAAAGTAGTCCATGTGACATCAGTGGGTTAGTTAGAATTTTTTGAAGCAACGAAAATACATTTTGGTCCAAAAATAACAATGGACTACTTTGATGATGAGCACAATTACAAAAAAGCGCCAATGGGAAAGTGCACAAAGTAATGCGAGTGATCCACTGACGACTTGCAAATGCAAGAACACGAACGCATCCGGATCATTTCCATAATAACCAATGCAATCTACCTGTTAACGTCTGGTTTAAGACGTTAAGACGGTAAATAATGGCGCAAGCATAAGTAAATTGCGAGCCGAAAACCTTAGTAAATCATCTTGCATGATTCATTTAAATGCTCTGTCTCCTCCCAGAAATTTTGCGTCTGAAAGGGAAACTCCTAAAGATGCATATATGCAATAAGGTCAGCCGCAAAAATGACTGTCCATGCCTTTTCAGCGCTAATGTTTCACTGTGTCTTTAGTAAATCCTGACAGTTGTTTTTTTTAACGGCAAAAGAGGGTTCGTGCTGGCGCAAGCTGTTAGTAAATCTGGCCCTTAGTTTGCATGTTTTGATTAAAACATATCAAATTCTCAGATTATCTGATACACATTTAAATTTTATATACATAGCATAAGACAAATGGCTCATAAGCTACAGAAGATTTTTTTTCTTCTATTATTTTTTTCTCTATTCTCCTATTCAGCATAATTGCCCTTTTTTGAAGGTTTTTTTTTCTGCATTTTATTATAGCTATTACAACTACAGAAGCTGCATCCACTGCCCAAAATCGTACTGGAATACAGACAGATTCACAAAATCAAGACTGCATTTGTGGATGGCATTTTGTCTTGTATGAGCAAGGTGAGACATTTCACATGTAGACTAGAAATCAAACCATATCAGATTTGATTTTAAAACATGCCTTTTTTATTGTGCTGTTGTTTTTCTTATGTCCAACTGACAGTATTAATGTTTATTATTATTTGGATTTTGTTTTATCCAATGTTTTCCATTTATCTATCTGTATAGTATATACATTTTCGGTAACACTTTACAATAAGGTTCATTAGTTAACAATAGTTAATGTATTAACTAACATGAACTAACCATAAGCAATACATTTGTAGCAGTATTTGTTAATCTTTGTTGATGTTAGTTAATAAAAATAAAGCTGTTCATTCTTTGTTCATGTTAGTTCACAGCACATTAACTAATGTTAACAAGAGTTTAATAAAGTATTAGTAAAATTGAAATTAACGTTTACAAACATTAATAAATGCTGTATAAGTGCTGTTCATCATTAGTTAATGCTAACTAATGTAGTTAACTAATGTTAACTAATGAACCTTATTGTAAAGTGTTACCACATTTTCTTTATAAATAAATGACTTGACCTGACACAGCAAATAGATTGTCATTGTTTACAGAAAACAATTTTTTATTTATTAATTTTAATTCTCTGCTTCTCAGACATTCATTTCTTCCACATGGAATCAGACCAGTACAGTGAGTGGCAGACTGTCTGCCAAACATCCTGTGAGTGCTTCTCCTTTTTCCTTTCAACTATCTATCATTTGCCTGGTTACTATTGAGCCCTCCTCCCTTTTTCTCTCCTTCACTTTCCTAGGTTTTTAATACTCTTTTTCACACACATGAACATGTCCACATGCCCAATGTTTGTGTTTTAAAAAGTCCTGGGCCTGAGTAACATTTTGAACAAAATAAGATTTGACACAAGCCTTTGCTGCCCTATTATGTTCTACTATTCTCTCCTCTCTCTCTCTCTCTCTCTCTCTCTGTTGTGACAGATCGATAGCTCATCTCTAGATCTGTTTCAGGGTCCAGCATACACTTGATGTGAAATTTACACTGTTGCAACACTACACACACAGAGAGAACATTGTCCTCTAACATTATCTTCTTCCTGTAGGTGCATTTTCAATCCATCAATCAAGCCATTCATTTTTTCTTTAGAATAATGGAACTTGTCATTATTTTTTACTTCAAGAAATTCATCACACCATACGCGTGTCACGTATGCAGGGATTAAATTTCTCCGTCGCTACGACGGATTTCCGTTAATTGCAGCGAGTCTATGATGGATATCCATCAATTGCAGGGTTCTCATCTGTCCTTATGTCTTAAATTAACTTTTCATAATTTTAAGGCCGTAAATAGGCTTTCATTTCACAAACAGTGTGATAAATGTCTTAATTTTAGTTTGAATAGGTCTTAAATTAAGGAAAGATGATGCGTATTCAACCTGCTGAGGGGGGGTGTGATAAAGCCTGGAGTGGAGCGAAAGCACGTTCCTCTCTCCACTCTAAGCATTCTGTAATCACTTTGCTCATGGTCCACTCCCATGGTCCGGTTTTTCAATTCCCGCTCACGGAAAAACTGCTCCCTGGACCCTGTTCACTCAATCTTGTCAGGCGAGGCTACAGCTCGTTTGCTGCGGTCCCATGATTAGGGTTGCAAACCGTTCCGTATAATACGGAATCGTTCCATATTTGTCACATAAAAGTCTTGTTCCGTATTGAACTGATACGGAACGCACTTTGTTCCGTATTTTTGAGAATCAGTTTAGTGCAAATCCATGACAGACACATCTTCTAAGATATCTCAGAAAGACTATGAATGAAGACCTCACCAGTTGAGCCACTCCACTCGTGATCGACTAGTTTTACCGCAAATTAGTTAAAATATCCTCTAATCTAGAGCGATCTTGCCTGCAAGCTTGATCTTCTAACGGCGCGGACGCAAAACCAGGACTGGAGTCAGAGCACATTCCTCTCTACACTGTAAGCGTTCTGTTATCACTCCGATTTCGGAAAAACTGTTCCGCGTTTAATCGATTTTAAAAGATAATCTAATGTTTTACTGACTACTCCCCGCAAGAATTTTTTTTTTTTACATTTTAAGGTTAAATGCATCAGATCAGATCAAAATTAAGAGCTTCAACCCATGAACTGCTCGTTAAAACAAAGATAAAGCATTGATTTGTACTAGGACAATAAAGAAGGCTTCGGACTTGCGTCCTTGGTAGTTCAGACTTGCCAAGTTCGACTCGGGAGAACAAACTCCCGAGGACGAGAGGACGCTGCTAACAGCGCGTTCTTGATCGCGTCACTCAGCACGCGGCTACTCCGGTTATCAACTCTGCCTTTTTTCATCAACACCATTGTGCCTCTTTTCATTTATAAATGAACATAATTATTATCATAAACATATAAATTGCCACACAAATGTGGTTCAGGCAACGCACATTGATTGTCATATATTTATAACAACACGAAATAGCTAAAACACAAACCTCCTTCTTTTGTTTTCATTTTAAAAATATGAAACATTATTTATCATTAAAACTGACATTTAACAAACAGACAGGGTTGTATCGTTTTATTGTATTATGCGTACACATACAGTGAAGAGAATGCATAGTAATATAATATTTTATAAATTTTAGAATATATAAAATTACACAACCATGTCTCTTTTTTGTTAAATGTCAGTTTAATGCTAATATCCCGTTCAAAAGTATAAGTAGCCTAATAGGTATGCTATAATAAGCTATACAATGAGAAATAAAGCAAACAATTCAGTTAAACGTAAGTCAGCTCTCTAATAGGCTACAAAGTTAAAGTTAAATAGCCTACATAATAAAGTTATAAAACTTCACTTTGCCCTCAGCCAAAACAATTTGCCATGGCACAAACTATATATTAATATAGTTTAGCATTGTTTGGTCTCATAAGATAAATAAAAACATGCACTGAAAAGTTATGTATTTGTCAAGATAAGTAATTGTTTTTCATAGATTAAAATAGCTTTTAAATTACGCAAACTGGCAATATTAGATGGGTTTGAAACATCTCCCCTTAAAACGCTATTGGTCTCGACTATTTAAATAAAGTTACAGGAATATGACTTGGCCTGAAAAAAATTTCAGTCAGAAGAATTTTTTTTCACTTTAATCCCTGTCCCTGTTTATAAATGATCTGTCTCTCCTTCATACTGATTTCAGTCAAATCACTTCTGGAGGTTTATTCATCCGAGTATTGTACTGTAACCGGTGCATTTAATTTCTGTTGATGATTAATTCAGGTGTGTGATTATTGTTTCCGTGACTACTGAGGTCAGGCACACCTGAATTAATCAATTTGGCCAATAATGGCAGACAGGAAACAAGGAGCTGGCTTAAGTTCAGGAAGTAGTGCAGCTGTGCATAAAGCCCATTAAACAAACTCAAATAAACATGAGAAACTAATTCTCTCCATATGTAAAGAGTTTCCATTGAAAAGAGTCAGTGTTGTGGTCTGTGTTGCATCTGTGTGGTGCATGGCTTTCCTCTTGTCATTTGAAATTGGCTACACCAAAGCATCACAGGCATGTGTAATAACGCTGTGTGACTGTGTGTGTGAGCTGATTAATTAAATTGTGCTCTGACACAGAGAGTAGGCAGAATTACATTTGTATGTTCAAGAAAGATATGTGCCATGCCCCCCCTCCCTCCCACACACACACACACACGTCTTGAGAATATTCTTGTACTCAGCACAGTACTGTCATCTCTCTTCACTGATTGCATTATGCATCAGGGAGGTCTTTCTGAAGTGCTCTGCCAGCATTACATCAACACTTGGCATCAAGTTTGATTAATGTCCTGTCTGCTTTAATTCATGGAAAACCAAACCTCTATTACTGTTTAAAATACAGTATCTCTCTGTTAAAAATTCACCCTATCTATTTTTATAAATGCATGCTATCACATCTGTCTATGTACTGTAATTGATGATGTCAGATCTATAGTCATTATAGTACAGAGAAAAAATGGGTCACAAGTCACAGGTGTGTTTATGCACGTGTGTACTTTTTACTTGAACACTAATGCATTTGAACGTTTCCACATTTGTTTTCCAGGGGAGCGTGTAAAATGAGTCCTCAACAAAGTCTGACTGACTGCCCTAACAAAGCACTTATACCGTTTATTCACTACAAACAAGTGCTCAATCACTGAGCATCGAGCTGAAACAAAAACATCGTACCGCAAAGCAGACTCTACAAACCAAAGTAACCCATTAAGAGTCAATGAGATGCACGTTTATGTTATTATTTTCACAGTGCCTGGTTTGATGAGCTCTAAAACAACAACCGGCACTGTTAATTGCATTGTTTCTGCATGGACCTCGGTTTCTGTGCTTATTAAGCTTTTGCAACACAACACAAACAGTAGCAGATGAGTAGCAGCAGTGCATTCGGCATGTGCTAATGAGAGATAGAGAGCGTGAGGGACATCTTACTGTGGTTTCTGTTGTCTCACGGCTTTAGAAACATCTGTGCCTCAAAGCATCAACACATTAGTCTTGCTGCAGTTTTTCTAAAGATGGGCCACAGGGAGGAATAGTTATATTTAAGTAATTTGCCAAAGACTTTGGAAAATCACTTTGAAGACCTCAAAATGATGACTCAGATGTGTAAGACTTTGAGGATAATTTAGTCCCTGTCTATGGTGTTTCAAGGTTATTGAGTTAGTTTCCGTTATAAGCAAGCCTTTGCAAAATATTTGCAGTAGCTCATGGTGTGTGTGTGTGTGTGTGTGTGTGTGTGTGTGTGTGTGTGTGTGTGTGTGTGTGTGTGTGTGTGTGTGTGTGTGTGTGTGTGTGTGTGTGTGTGTGTGTGTGTGTGTGTGTGTGTGTGTGTGTGTTCGAGGCCTCTACTGTATCAGAAACAGGAGAGGCAGCATGTTTCTGCGTGCTTACAGGGTGCCGTTATGGGATGGCAGTGGATCTTGCCCATCATCTGGGTGATTGAAGGGTTTGTTGCCACGGAAACTGTGCAGAAGCATAGGGAAGTGTGTACAGTAGGGGGTAATTTCACTTGAAATGTGACTGAAATAAAATGGTGTTACTCAGACAAATCCCTAACCTAAAATAATTTATATCCTTGTGAATGCCTTTCGGGTTCGAATCCACTGTGAGACACCAATGTGTCCCAGAGCAAGACACTTAAACCCTAGCTGCTCCAGAGGCGTGCAACCTCTGACATATATAGCAATTGTAAGTCGCTTTGGATAAAAGCGTCAGCTAAATGAATGAATGTAAATGAAAGTATGTGAGAGTTTTTTTATACTCTGTGAAGGTCTGGTTGGTGAGTTCTGTGCTTGCATTTCTCAATGAATTAATTAATCAATCATCCAAACCTCTTTAACCTCTGAATCAATATTGCAGATTCTCCAGCTATTACTGGCCAGCTGTTAACGCCCCACCTACGCCTTCAACAGCAAATGTGTGCACACGCACAGACTCTCGCTGTATAGCTTTTCTTTCAGCTTCAACCCCCTGTTGTGTCAGTTAATGAGCATCCAACACCCCTGTGTGTAATAATGATCTTCTGTGTGGGCGTTGGTGTGTACTGCGGTAAAGATGAGGTAGATGCAATGTTGCAAAGGCTCCAGCAGATGGCAGCAGGCTTGAGCTGTACACCCATTATATGGCATGCTAGCTGAGAAATGTTCTTTGCAGCTATTCTATTCTTCA